TATGCACTTTTTGATTAGGTCATATGGTTTTGAAACTACTCACCGATAATTTCATTTCAGCCTACAAACAGTAAGTCAGTACCCTAAAATGTGATGTTTGTATCAAGTCTGGGTATATTTTATTTCATTTAATATGTTAAATATTATTTCATTCCACGGAGATGAAAGTTGCTTTCCCTGATTTATTTTAGAAAGAACCAGTGACAGTGGTTTTTACTTGTCCAGAAGGATATGCTTGTCTTTGAGTGTGTGTCCGGCAATAAATTTGTTAGGTAGGATGATTCTGCTCCATATGGAAAATCTTTAAAACAAGAAATAACTGGCGGAAAGGGGGATTTTAACGGATTTGGACATACTGGTCAGCCAAAACTCACAGTTTCAGAACTGAATAGATGAACTCTAATTTCAATTTTTCTTTCGAAACAAAAGAATTACAGATACAGTTTACCAGAGGAAGGTGTTGAAGGCGTGGTCAGGGCTATCAATGCTGCAGCAGGTGGCTGTAGGGCTAAAATAAATTTTTAGTTTAGTAAATTTTAAGTCCGTTTATCCTTAAGGTCTCCCTCTAATCATTCCAATTTCTCTGAGCCAGTGATGAGTCGCATGCATGTTTCTTAAAAACCGCGAGAATCTTAATTATGTAATTGCACAACCCAGACCAGGTGCTACAAACTGCATACAGATTATGTACGTGGCTGAGCTGACCATGATGCTTGAACAAATGGCGGTCTCTACCCTAGTCTAGTACAGAACGTAAAGTTTCCTTAACTATGTGCTAGGTTACAAAGGTTTATTTGTCAAAACAATGATTCGTTGTTGACGATAAACATGCTGTCCCCATACGACCCCATTGGTTGCAAGTTATTATCGTTTTAAGAAAATTTTGTCAAATGTAACTTCAAGTTCTGATGTTATTGCATCATTCTCAGAGGCAGTAACCCTGTTTTCCTTAAAAATGCGTTTCACTGTCTGATATTACTGATCTCAAATCACGTCCTGATTAATACAACTGATACTACTAAGTAATATCGGAAGTGAGAGCTTTTCATGATTTAAGGAATCCAAAGCAACTGTATTGGCCCCTCTTGAGTTCTCACATAATCTGGCAACCAAACGTTTACAGCGCTCTTATTTTTGCAGGCCACAACGCAACGCCTCTTTATTAACCGCTACTATTTTACTTACTTGCTGGGGTAGGCCTCGGAGTTGATTGAATCGGTGGCTGAGTCGTTGGCTGGGTGACTGGACTAGTTGGCCGAGTCGTTGGCTGGGGCATTGGACTAGTTGGCTGAGTCGTTGGCTGTGTGGTTGGCGGAGTCGTGGGGACTTTTGAAAACACACAAGAACATGGGCACTTTTAAGGCTCCAATTTTTTTAAACTGCCGCAAAACAACTCCTTTAACTCCAACACTAAAGCTATTGCTTTTAGTTTGGAGCCTCGTATAACAATGGTCGTTATAATCAATCTTTCGCAAGTGTTACAGCAAAAAGACAAACCCATCCCAACAACCCATTCCATATCACCGAATGTTAGCTCAACTGGTTTAGTACCACGATTTGGGAGTGGTAGCCTCGGGTTCGATTCCCGGCCGGACCATCATACAGGATCTTAAAAAAATACGTGGAAAGAAAATGCTTCCCCGCTTTGCTCGGACACCTGCAAATGGATAAACTTTCTAATCTTCTCAGATGACTATAAACGATAGGCGCTATATCACAGCACTCTACTGATCTGACTCTTGTGGGACGCCGTAACAAATAACTACCAGAGGCGTAACAATCTTTGGCAATGCAACTCCAAGTGTATGTCCTTCACGGGTTGTGGGATTGGGTACGTACGATGAGGGGCACCTCAAACGAGACCTATTCGATTGACCAGTTCGTACCCATTCATACTGGGAAGGTCTAAATGTAGAAGAGTTTGAAAAGCTGGTTATACCAACTACATATCTCAGATCAATAAGAACACAACTCATCTTGGACCCAATGTCCATTATCTGTTGATTGACACCGACAAAATCAATTGGCATAAACGCCGCCGTATCATTTATAAATTGATTGTTATACCAAATAACGGAAGAAAGTTTTACGCCTTACCAGGACAAATCTGCACTCCACATGGGCGAGCCTCGATGGTTGTAGTTCCGCAACCTGGCGTGATGTAAGTGACCTGTGACGTAAAACACGTGCGATTGCGCGTTTGCATCGCAGTGTTGTTACCATTGCTACAAGTATGTGAGCATGGTGACCAGGAAGACCAGGGATTGTAACTAGCATTCACTAATGGCTCGCTATTATTTCCTAGGAAACTGCAATGTAAAAAATACAAGGCAATCGCCGAATACATAAACTAGACTTCAAGAAATAACCATTATTACCTACCTATACACCTCGTTGCTCCACTGTCCACCTTCTCCATCTCCTAAACAAGCATTTTACAAAAATAATCTATTAGCCATGACTTAAACTAAAGGATAAGAATAGCTGATGATATTGTATC